AGTATAATATACTGGAGACAGGAGCACCGGTGCTCCAAACTCCAGTATATTATACTGGACCAATATACTTGCTGGAACTCCAGTATATTATGCTGGAGTTCTAGTGTACTTATGCTGGAACTCCATCATATTATGCTGGAGTTCCAGCATACTTATTCTGGAACTCCAGTATAATATGCTGGAGTTCAAGTATACTTATGCTGGAACTCCAGCATAATATACTGGAGTATTTTTCGGGTTTTGAACAGTGTTTTCGCTCAGATTTATCTTTATATAAAAAATGGCTAAATTTCGATTACTTTTGAAATTGGACTATTTTGAACGACCAGTTGTAAATCTGGCTATTTTTAAAATTTACCCATATATGTATACCCGTTAAGAAAAGTAAACAATCTGGGCTGGTTATTACTTAAAGATCCCAAAAAATAAGGTAGTACTCTATATTCATAGTTTTTTAAAAACTTGTGGTATTAAATATATCATAATATTTATTTATTTACAAACCTTTTGAAATTTATGGTCTTAAATACGACATAATATTTTTATGGATATAAGAACTTGTCATTAAGGGTAAAATAAAATATTCAAGCTAAAATATTTCCAAAAACCAATTTTTTTTTTTTAAAAAAAATAGTATTCTATTTTGAATATACTAATGAGGAAATAATATTTTTTTTTTTTTGTAGCGGAGAAAGTAATAACTATGATTTTTTTTGGTGTTCAATATATATGCCATTCTTTGTTAGTAGGAGAAAATAATAAGAATGAATTTTAGCTGTTTCCATTATATAGATTATTACTATTTTGGTTAAACGGGTAAAATTTTATTTAACCAAGCAGAGAAATGTACAATCGCTAGCTCATTTTGACTCTAGAGTTAGGNCCCCCCACCACACACACCTATTTCTCTATTTACATATGTCATACTAAGCCAAGACTTGGATAGGGTAGCTATTTAAACTTTCCAATACAGTCTTCCATCTGATCTCTAAGTTGTAATTGTAATATAATGTTTTTGATTTTTTGAGCACAGGAAGTTACTTACCGGAAAACAGCCTCTCTATTTTCTAAAGGCAGAGGTAAGATCTGCGTACACTCTAGCCTCCTCAAACCCCACTTGTAGAACTATAATGGATATATTGTTGTTGTTGTTGTAGTGCAGGAAGTTACTTATCCGTGAAACCTGCACAAGTTTCTCTCATTCCAAATGTGATAGATTGTTGCTGGGAATAGGAATGCTAGTATACTTGCTCAAGGCCTGTTGTTGTTTGATAACTACTCAATTTCATCATTCTAGCTGCCAATTTGATGTCATTCTCTCATCTAGTGTAGCAATGTAGCCCATACAGTTCTTGAATAATCGTGCTCAAACAAAATATGGTTCAGTATTTCCTCAATGTTTATTCTACATAGTACGCAATCACCAGACACCAATATGTCCCGTTCCTCAGTCTATCAACCGTAGCCAGTCTTTTATGAAGAGCCAACCAAAATATGAATTGGTGCTTGGGTAATGATTTTGATCTTATTGCTATTCTTCTCCATGGACTCTTTTGGTATTGTTAATCCTTAATTGATTATTTGAATTAGATTTTGTGAAAATCTGAAAAGAGAAGATCTTCAAAATTCCTAAATTCGTGGGTTTATAAAGATTTTGTTGCTATTTTTTGAAACTAGAATACCGTGAGTCATTATAAATATAAGTTTTATTTTGTATATCTTTGTAAAGATCCATTCATTAATTATTATTTTTATGATGTATATGCTTGTCCTTCTTAAAGACCATTTTAGTTATGGATGGATTATATTTTGAAGAAAAAAAAAAAGGGTTAAAATTTTCAGCTCTTGCAATGATTTTTCAAAGGAATATATATATATATATATATATATATATATATATACATACATACACTATTGGAANATTTATCAATTCTTATTATGTGTTATCATTTGGTGTCAATTTAATGATCTTAAAAAGGGGTTTTTACCTTCTTATACACTATTTGAAATTTTATTACCCTCCCTACTCAAGTTTCAATTTAATAACATAGGCGTATATAATTTATCAATTATATACACTTTAGGAATTAAATGAGTATCCTTTATATTAGGAATTGAATAAGGAATCAATTATTTTCCATCCTTGTTCTCTCTCCCTCCTGCGCGCTCTCTCTCTCTCTGTCCGTCTCTCTCTGTCTCTCAATCTCTCATTCTCTGTTCTTTCCCCAATTTTTCTTCCTCTGATGTCCTCTAATTTTTATCCTTTCATGTTGTATGTATTTTTAATGAAATTCATCATTGGACTTCAATCGTTTTACTATAGAGTTTTAACTTAGCAATTTTCTTTCATGTTGCACAATTGGTGTTCAAATTGAAATTGTCAATCAATAAATTTTGAAGGTGTTTGATTCTCCGCCATTGACAGCCATTAAAAATCTTTGAAGCTTTGAATTCGATTTTTGATTTTCAAAACCATTATTTATGTGGATTGTGTGTTGTTGCAAGCACTTGGGATATATCTCAATTTTGAGGGTGTTTGGTGAAGATTAGACTTGATTTTGGCTGAATTTCAGATTGAAACTTGAAGAAGAAGAAGAAGAAGAAGAAGAAGAAGAAGAAGAAGACGACGACGACATTGGCATACATTATACTTACCAAATTATAGTAAAGCTGTAGTAAAATTGTAAAAAAAATTATATTCTTATATATATATATATATATATATATATATATATATATTTATATATATAAAACTTGTATTTAAGTTGTATGATTTTGTAGTTGTATATAACTGGGATGAAATAATGTACGAAAGTTGTAAATAAGTTGTATAATATATAATTAGTTGTATGAAATTTGTATATAAATCAAATACAAAATATACAAAAGACATATTGTATAAAATTTGTATAAAAATTATATTTAAATTGTATGATATTGTAGTTGTATATAACTGGGTAGAAATAATGTATGAAAGTTGTAGATAAATTGTAGATAAGTTGTATAATATATAACAAAACATAGTGAGTTCGATAAAGTTACCCGTTATTACACTAAATTTTATTGAATTTAACTTATGTACACACCGATAGTCTAACAATTTTTTACACTTCCATTGCGATTTAACCTGTTGAAACAAGTTAGCTGTTATAGCTTCCAGGTAACTAGTTTATTTATTTTATGCCTTTACCTATAATTATCTCTTTTACATTGTCTGTGCATATTAGTAAAATTTGTTTCTCTGATCAAGTCTATATTTTATTAGTAGTAAGAATAAACATTTACTCGATCTATTTTGTTAGTAAGGTTGGTGGTTTCTGCATTCTGCTTGGTGAGCTCATCGCGAATGCTTCTGAAACCGGTTGCAACTTAGAGTTGGAAAATGTTAAAAAAACCTTATTGAACGCTTGAATAATAGAGATAAGCTTTTCCAAGTTAATTAAGGAAAGGGTATCTGATAACATTAAAAAAATCACAAAGAATTGACAAAATGTTATTAGGATCACACACGAGCTAAGAGAGAGCGCGCGCTTCAGGAGAGGAAAGCTCATTTTCTTTCTATTAAAATCAGAATGTTCTGGATCCTTACAATATTCAATATCTCTATTTATCTATAGGCCACTTGGGCTGTTAGCTAGTATATTTAAGAGTCAACAGAATAATGGGCCTGGCCCAGTTACAAATAAATACACAACTGGCCCAACTTCAGGTAACCCCAACTCCAATAGCTCCAATAACCCACCCCCCCCCCCCCCCCAAAAAAAAAAAAATTGAAGGGTGGGCACACACCCAACTTGCCGATCAAAGAGTGATGTTGAGCACCTGGAAGACACTTAGTAAACACATCAGCAAGCTGAGAAGTAGTAGAGACATGACTTAATGAAATGAGCCAATCAGCTAACTTGGTGCGAATAAAATGACAATCAACTTCAATATACTTTGTACGTTCGTGAAAGACAGGATTGTGAGCTATATGAATAGCTGCCTGGCTGTCGCAAAAAATAGGAATAGGCTCCTTCAGTGGCAAGCCCAAATCAGAAAATAACCTAGTCAACCAAGATAATTCTGCCACGACTTTGCTCATCTATACTCTGCCTCACCCGAGGACTATGAGACAACCTGTTATTTTTTAGATTTCCAACTCACAAGGCTACCACCCAGAGTAAGACAAAAACCAGTAACTCAACGGCGAGAGTCGGGGCAGGAAGCCCAATTGCTATCGCAATAGCCAAACAAAGAGAGGTCAGGAGTATTATTCAGAAATCCCCCAGCATGTGCAGTACCCTTCAGATACCGTAAGACATGCAACGCAGCAGCCATATGAGGAGCTCTAGGAGTTTTAAGAAACGGACTAAGGTGTTGGACCGCAAAACACAAGTCCGACCTAGTATGGTTAAGGAAGTTAAGTTTTCCAATAAGACTTCTATAAGAATCAGGCCTAGGGAGAAGATTCCCAACATCAGACTTCAATTTAGTAGACAAATCAAGAGAGAAAAACACTATAGAAACATTAGAACAATTAAACTCACTTAACAAGTCATAAATGAACTTTCTTTGATGTAACACAACCCTGAAGGATGATAAAAAACCTCAATACAAAGGAAATAATTCAGGAGGCCCAAGTCTTTGATTTTGAATTCAGCATCCAAAAAACTTTTCAAGACAATTATTTCATCCAAATCATCCCCAGTGAGAATGATATCATCCACATATACAACAAGAGAGACAACAGAAAGAGTAGTTTTTCTAATAAAGTGAGAATAGTCATTTAGAGAATGTGTATAACCTCTAGAGCAAAGGGCCTGAGACAGCTTGGCATACCACTTCCGTGAAGCCTGTCTCAAACCATATAAAGACTTCTTAAGTTGGCAGACCAAATTGGGAGAAGAATTCTAAGAAGGTGAAGAAACAACAAGACCTGGGGGAAGCTTCATAAAGACCTCTTCATCCAAGTCCCTATGCAAAAATGCGTTGTTAACATCTAATTGAAATAAAGACCAATTATGCTTGACAGCAAATGCAATTAAACACGTGACAGTACACATCTTCACCACATGTGAGAAGGTTTCATGAAAATCAATACCTTCCACCTGAGTGTCACCCTTACTACTAACCTTGCCTTGTACCTTTCCACATACCCATCAGCCTTGTATTTGATCTTGTAAACCCACTTACACCCAATTTGGTTTCTTGCCCTTAGGCAACTCAACAATGTCCGAGGTGTGATTAGCCTCCAAGGCCTTAAACTCCTTCCTCATGGCTTCTTGCCAAGCTGGGCTGGCAGCTGCCTGAATATAAGAGTGAGGTTCAACTGCAGTAGTAGAAGTGGAGGTGGTAGAGGAGCAGAAAGAAGAGGGAAGTTTAACCATAAAGTCTTGAAAGAGAGATGGAAGGTTGTGAGGTCTAGTGGACTTTCTGAGAGGAGGATGAGGAGAGGCAACAAAAGGAACAAAGGCAGGAGATGAAGGAGAAGGTGAGGGAAAGGGAATAGATGGTCGAGTAGGAGAGGACTGGGAACTAGAATTGGAAGGAAAAGAAGAAGGAGTTGAGCAGACAGGAGCAACAGAATCAGATAGAGAATCAAAAAGAGGAGGAGCAGTGGAAATGGGAGATGAAAGAGAACAAAGAGAAGAAGAAAGATGAAAGGGGAAGACACACTCATGGAAAATAACATCTCTGGAAACAAGCACAGACTTGGTTTGTAAACTATATAGTTTATAACCCCTTTTCCCAAAAGGATATGCAATGAAAACACATGGCATAACTCATGGCTGGAGCTTATCCCTATGACATTTAGGGACTGTGGCATAGCAAAGACAACCAAATGGTTTTAAATGTTTGTAAGAAGGACATGTACCATGTATGATTTCAAGTGGAGTCTTGTTTGATATAACAGGTGATGGGAATCTATTTATAAGATAAGTAGCAGTCAAAAGGCAGTCCCCCTAAAATTTAGTAGGAAGTTTAGATTGGAATAGAAGAGCTCTAGAGGTTTCCAGAAGATGTTTGTGCTTCCTCTCAACTACACCATTCTATTGACGTGTGTGAGGGCGAGTGGTCTGGTGTAAGATTCCGTTGGCAGAGAAAAATTCACAAGCCAATGAGGAAGAACCAAGCTCAAGAGCATTATCACTTCTTATAGTCTGTACAAAAAGGCTCAATTATGTTTTGACCATTGCAATAAATGCCTTAAGTAAAGGAAAAGCATTACTCTTAGCATGCATTAGATGAGTCCAAGTTGCTCTACTATAATCATCCACAATTGTTAAGAAGTAATTGGCACCAGTATAGGTTTGTGTGTGATAAGGACCCCAAGTATCAACATGGACAAGCTGAAATAAAGAAGTTACGTGAGAAGTACTATCAGGAAAGGGTAATCTAGTTTGCCTGGCTAGGGGACAAATATGACAAACAAAGGATTGCTTAGAAGATAGATGAGAAGAAATACTAGGTATAATTTTCATTTTTACAAAGGGGATATGGCCCAACCTATGGTGCCAAAGTACATCAAGATTATTTACAGTATTCACATAATTCATGGAAGAGACAGTAGAAGTAGCATTGCTAATAGTAGAAGAAACATTGCTATTTACAACTTGTGCATCATTATTCAAGGGGGAGATAGAATGTGGAATGCTAACAGTAGAAGAAACATTGCTATTTACAACTTGTGCATCATTATTCAAGGTGGAAACAGAATATGGAACTATAGTTTGCACAAACTTATCAAATCTGAAACAGAAATACAGTTTAATTTTGGCAAAACATTGTTGATTCTGGAACCAGAAGAATCAGGATTAGTAAGTGGAAGAAGCTTGTACAGCCCATGGTGCACTCTACCAAGTTCCAGGAGCTTCTTCCTAGAACGGTCCTGTATAAAGCAGGAATATGATGTGAACAAGACAAAGGTGCTAAATTGTTGAATCAATTTGTATACAGAAATCAGATTGTACTGAAAAGTGGGAATGAAAAGGACACCATGAAATGTGAAAAAAGGAAACAAAGTGAGTGATCCAGTGCATGTGACTTTCACTTTGTATCCATTTGGTAGGGAAACTAAGTAGGGTATTGGAAGTGGCTTAATGTCAAAAAGAAGGTCTTTGCTAGATGTCATGTGGTCAGTTTCTCTTGAAACTACTATCCAAACACTCCTAGCAAGTCTAGACAACATGCATGCAATAAAACTCTCACAAGAAGTAACAGGTAGATTGGATACACTACCAGCAAAGTTAGCAGAGACCTCAAGGTTGGGTGAAGAATTGGACTCTAATCCAGAACTCTACAAAAACATCATCAATTGAGTGCATTGTTCCTTAGTCAGCCCGGGTATATGAGAATTTTTCCCATCAGAACCAGATGATGAAGCATTATTAGGATGCCCAGAAATGTGCCCAGAAAGAGGAGACTCAATATTGGCAGCAGCACAAAACTTTCGGCCCTTTGTAAATTTAAAATTCTACAGGAATCCATGCAGCGTATAGCATTCGACAATAGTATGACCATTTTTCTTACAGTATTTACAAAAAGGAGACCTTTTACTCTATTCAAAAGACATTCTTTGATTGGACTGGTCAAAGTTAACCTTCTGGGTGTATTGCCTCTGGAAATTAGATTGATGAGGAAATTTGTTGGTAGTGTTTGTATTGAATGAGGCCATATCAGGACTGAATTGAGTAGTAGTAGTGACTTGTCTTTGTTGTTCATCTTGCAGAAGAATGTTGTAGCATTACTGAGAGAAGGTTGTGGATTCAGGAGTACAGTGTTGCTCCTAACATTGACATATGTTTCGTTTATCCCCATAAGAAACCGGTGTACCCTATTTTCTTCCTCTTCTACCTAGAGACCAGCCTTTGCAGCACAAGTACATATCTTTGCATGATTGGAAGACATTATTCCCAGCTCATCCCTGAGTTTCTTTAACTTGTTAAAATATGAGGCTATGTCAAAAGGGCCTTGACAAACAGAAGACAATCTTTCTTAATTCAAAGATTTTAGCCATATTTACTGTCCCATATCTGTTATTCAGTTGGTTCCAAATAAATGATTTCAGCAGTCTCAGAGTACTGCACACTCTCAGCAATCTCAGGTGAAAGAGAACTTGCTTACCAGGATATTACTATATTATTAACTCTATCCCATTGCTTACATTCAGGTGAATTTGTAGCATGTCTTGGACAAGTGCCATCGACAAAAGCGATTTTATTACTGGCTGATAGAGACACGGTCATACTCCTTTTCCAACCCCCAAAACCACTACCAGAGAACGAGGCCCTGGGAACATCAGAAGGATGAGGAACAAAAGACTAGAGGCACGAGGAGTGAATTCAGACTCACTAGTACGAGTACTACCTATTTTTATGAACAACAACAACAGAATAGACTAACAAATCAGTGATGAAGTACTATATCTCGAATCAACTATATCAGTCAAACTTAGGTAATCAGAATGGCATGCAGCTAATAAGAGGTGGAACAATATTACCGGCTTTGCTACCGGAAGATACGACTTTGAAAGAAAATCAGAAGTTACTCAATCAGGATACGAAGATGAAGCTCGAACCCCGCAAAAATTGTATTTTAGAAACCCTAGATCTGAGAATGATCCACAACCTCAAAATTGAGCAATCGTTGCAGCGTATACTCAGAACTCGACGAATGAGATAAGAACCAGGAAGAAGAAACTCGAAATTCCATCAAAAAGCTTAAATGACTCCGAAATCAGAAATACATGCGAACACAAAACTTCATCAAAATCGCTTGAGGGTACACTTGATCAGAAGGGAATGTCGTGATCTCTCAAAATCTGGGCTCTGATACCATGATAAATTGAAAAAATGATAAAGAATTGACAAAATGTGATTAGGACCACACACGAGCTAAGAGAAAGAGAGCTTCAGGAGAGGAAAGCTCATTTTCTTTCTATTAAAATCAAAGTGTTCTGGATCTTTACAATTTATATCTATCTATCTCTAGGCCACTTGGGCTGTTAGTTAGTATATTTAAGAGCAAAAATAATAGTGGGTCTGGCCCAGTTACAAATAAATACACAACTGGCCCAACTTCAGGTAACCCCAACTCCAATAACTCTAATAATATATGAAACTACAGTGACAGTATTTTGAAAATACAGTTTAAAATCAAAATTCATCCAGAAAATGTCAGAAAAAGACTTGAAGAATGGGTATCAAACTAGAATCTTCGACCACAAGAGTATTATTACACCAAGAGGGGAGAGAAGAGGGGAGAGAAGAGAGAAAAAAGAAAAATGGTGTAACTAAATCCTTGATTGAAGGCACAATAATGGATTGAGAGCCTTTTAAGTTGTATATATTTTGTAACTAAAATGTGTTTAGGTCGGATAAATACCAAAACATGGATATTTTTCGTAATAAAGTTTCAAATAGTGTATAGGAATGAAAAAAATTCCCTTTTCAAACGAGACATCTTTAAATCTTTGTTACTCAATTCTAGTGGCTAAAAGACCACAATTCAAAAATTAGCCCATACGTTCAAATTTTCCATGTGGCATTTACACAAACGTCCCTTTTTAAGGCCCCTAGTAAAATTTGTCCTCGTTGTCATTAGCTAGCCCAGGGAGCTAGATTTGTCGCTGGAAGAATGATATTTAATTCACTAACGAGATAGAATTTAAATAATGGCCTCAAAAAAGGCCTTAGAGTGCAAATGATCCAATTTCAATTATTTCATGGCCGTTGCTTCTATAGAATTTAAAGAATAACCTAAATGAGTAATGATTGAACTGGTATTTCTTATTTCTTACTTACTAACTTCAAATCATGAATCCGTCCTTAGAATAACATATTTAGAAATAACTGGTTAGATGTCTGGCTAAAGCTCAACCAGGCGGCTAGTTGTTGCATGTTTTGAAGCAAGAAATTAAACAATGTAACTGTATAGGTCCAAATTTGGTAACCACGACGGGGTCGACCACGACACAACGACTGATGGTCGTTGTGATAAAGGCTGACGACCAGAAGCGAGCAGCTAGGATAAAATAATAACGGTAACCTAAACTTAAGAAGAT